GCGCCCACAAGGTGCGAGCCGCTCTTCGCATCTGCGCCGCCGGCGATTTTCTCGGATTGCCCCTGCGTCCAAGTTTTTTTGCGCCCTTCATCCTCGACGCAAAACTACCTAGTCAACTCCTCATTCGCGTCGTGAGTTGCGGGTGGATGCGTCCCCTTGGCGTCGGATTCTTTCGCATTCTCTCCGTGCGTGCCGACGGCGCATTCGATTGCTTCCGTGCGCGCGTCGAAATCGCAGATTTCGTGGCCCTTCAGCTTGAGCATCTGCGCTGGGATAAGGTATCCTTTCCTGTTCGAAAACTCATCCTCTTGAGCGCGGTCGCAAGACTGTTCTAAGTGCTCGGCGAACTTCAAGCAAGTCATTTGCAGCCTTGCCGCCTCCGTCTTGCTGCCGCAATTTTAAGAAGCGTTTCTTATCCTCTTGGTTCACGAGCGCCTTGCATTCCGCGGTGGCTCTCTTTGTATCATCCTCACTGCATGCGTTGCTGCTCTGGTGCCGCAAGGAAGTGAGCGTCCGATTCGCCCTCCTTTTGTCGAGGGCGGCGCACTTGGGCAAGGCCTTCGCCATGCGCATCTCCATAGGCGCGGAGGCGGCGATGGCGGCGCCCATGGCAGCCGCTGGCGAGCAGCGCGGCGCGCGCGCCAGGGGGGCGAATAATAGCGCATGCATCGCTGCTCGCAAGATCAGCGCGGGGGGCATTCGATCAGGACAGCTAGACAACTGAAGCGCTTGAGCCGGAAAGGCAGCAACAGTGCCGGGCGTAGGGTCGCGGCGTTTCACGTCGTTGAACTCTGCGACCGAAGGGCATAATCATGCCAAAATGGCAATCTGTGAATCCTTATGCCTCTTGTCCCTCCCTTCATCCTCTTCGCCATGCATCTTCCTCCTCGGGCGCCCGCCTGCGCGGGGGGGCAGGAGATGATTCGGCGACATTTCTGCGCGACGGAATGCGCGCGCCGAATTCGGCCATCGGGCATGCGGTTGCTCGGGGAAGGTCAGCGAGCGCGACGGATATCCTACGAGCAGCAAGAATCGCACGGCTCAGCGATGGGCAAGAAGATTATTGTAGAACTTGTCTGGGGCAGCAAACTGCAGTAATACTATTGTTCGGCATGCTTCTGGAGCAGCGCCGGCACTTCCTGCTTGGCGCCTGGGCGTCTCGCCGACTGCTATTGCTCGGGGCATTTACTTGGGGTGAACTTCGTGCCTATGCTATGCGCGCGCTCTGTTGCGACGCATTTCAAGCATCCGCCGCTGCCGTCGCCGCCGCCCACGCGCTGCGCGCGCGTTGCGCGCGGCGCGCTGCGAGATGCGCATGGCGCGCGTGTGCAAATGAGACTTGTCGCATGCCGTCTCCGTGCATGAGTCGCATCAATGCGGGTGATTGCCATGCGCATGCTCTAAAAACACCACCAATGCATTCCAATGCGACAGAACGCTGCTCCAGAACGCGGGGGCGCTGTGATAGCCTGCCAACGGGGGGCCACGCCTGGACATATCAGGCCGCCCAAGGTGGACTGCGCAGAAAAAAAGTCACAGCGCGCAACTCTCATAGACATTTTGTTTTCGGAACAAGAATCCCCGGAAATAATCGCTTCGTGGATTTCCTTTGGAAGCGAGAAACATCTGCGAACACAAATGTTCACATGCATGTCTCTGGGAAAACTGACATTAATTTTTGCGCAGATCAGCTGCGGCGCGCGACCAGCGCGGCCCCAACTTTGGCATGGCACATACCTCCACATAAACGCGCGTCTCCAATCCCAGTGAGATGTGCCTCTCCCTGTTGCCTGGTCATGCAAGCGGTGTTGACGCCTGCTTGCGCCCTCTCATCTGCTGCTGCCTCCTGCCCCCGCTTCCTGCAGACCCCCCACCCCCCCCCCCCCCCCCCCTTCGAGGCGCGCCCTCCCGCGCAGGGCGCGGGCGCGCCGAATGACGATATGTTCTAAGGGGGCGCGACGAGAGGCCTTTGCTTTGCGCGCGCGCGGCTCCGCAGGGCGCGCTGCAGGGTTGCTCTTATGGCTCGTGGCCATCCATGTCGGCGCGTTGTTGATTAGGCCGTGCCGCCGCCGTTGTCGTCGCCGTCGGGCTTCTTCTTTTTGTTGCTGGGCTCGTGGGCGCCCTCTCCGTCGGGCCAGCGTTTCTTGCTTTCGTTATTGTCTTCCTGCTCTGCTCCTGCAGCAGCCGTGCCCTTGTTCTTCTGCTCTGCTCCTGGGGCTGCTGCATCGTGCCCTGGCCGTTCTGCTCCTGCAGCTGCTGCTGCCGCCCCGTCGGTTCCTTTTCTTCTCTGGCGTCTTCGGGGCTCGCGCGCCGAGCTCTGGGTTCGTCTGGTTGGGGGGCGGCTTCAGAATCTGCCCCCGCTGTTTCGGCGCGGCCTTCCTCGGCGGAGCGCTCTCGTGCTTCGTCGCGATCCTATGCTGGCGCATGCGCGTTTCTGCTGTCTCGTGCGGCGTCTGCGGCTCCGTGGGTGAGGGGGCTGTTGCTGCTGCTGCTGCTGCCGCCTGCGGCTCTGGCGCGGCCTCGGCGGCGGTGGCGCCCTGCGGCGTGCCCGCGGCGGTGTCCAGCGGAGGGGTGGCTGGCTCCGCGGGCGGTGCCACGCCGCTGGCGCCGCCGCTGGCGACGCCCCCCTGCTGTCTTTTAACGGCCTTGTGCGCCTGCGCAGTCGGGAACTGCGCGGGGATTTCCCCGCGCTCGAAATCGGAATTGTCGCCTGCAGTCTTTCCGTCGCGCTTCGCAGGCAGCGGGCCTTTGGGCTGCGCGGTCGCGCCGGCGGGCGTCAGCGGCGAGCCAGGCCCATGCTCTCTTTCTTCCACCTTCCCCCGCGCGGCTGGACATCTGGGCGGGGTTGTTGGGCGCCTCTGCTGCTGGCGAGCGAGTGGCTTCTTCTCTTGCTGGCGCCGTGGCTGGCGCCGCGGCTGCCGCTGCGGCTGCGGCTGCGCCGACGGGCTGCTGCGGGGGGAAGGGGGGGCGCTGCGCCCTCGCCGTAGTGACCTGCCGGGGCCCCGTCGGGGGCGGCGCGCTCGGCGGCGGGGGCGGCAGCTGCAGAAGACTTGGGAACGGCGGCGGTTGCAGGTGCGCGGCGGGCAACTGGGGCCACGACTTCCACGAGGTCAACTGCGGCATCGCGATCGCTGGCTGCTGCGTCTGTTGCTGGATCGCCCCCGTGTTCTGCAGCTGCTGCGCGACCTCCTGCGCCGCCTGCGACGCCGCGGGCGGCGCCGCTGCTTGACGCGGCACTTCCAACTGGTCTGCTTGAGACTTGGGGGCAGTCTTGGGCCCGCGCCCCCCCCTATGCGCGCGCGAGAAGGACATCGTTGGGCGGTGAAATGGCAGGCGGGCAAGGCCGCGGCATCGGCGACGGCGGCGGCATCGCCGGCGCGCTATTCGGCGCCGGCTACGGGAAACTCGGGAATGCAGAGTCGCCGAGGGCGCGCGAAGGGATCGCCTCGACGTCGAAGTGCACGGTGGGAGTTCGCATCGGGCAAGTCTTGGGCCCCGTCGTCTTGGGTCTGAGGGGCGCGAGGGTGCGCCCGTGCTCTGCGATTTCTTTTTTCCTCGCGCTCTTTGGTGTCCTTCCACCGCCCAGGCGCTGCCCTCCTGCGCAGGAAGGGCGCCCCTCCCGTGCAGGGGGGGCGTCCCCGTGCTGAATGGCAACATAAACAATCGATCACTTATCGGTCGATCGATCGATAATCAATTCCGCCTCGCGGCGCCCAGGTGCCGCGCTGCTCCCGCTTCCTGCGGGGGCGCCGCGGCAGCTCGAAGGTTGCGCGGCGGCAGCTTCGCGCCCATCGTCTCGTTCTGCAGCTCGCGCGGGCCGAAGGTTGCCGCGCGGCGGCGGCTGGCCCTACCCCAGCCCTGGCGCTTGGACGAGAGGCGCAAGCCGCTGCCGATGCACTTCCCCTCGCCGCAGCGCCTGCATTTCGACGGCGGGCGGCGCCGGTGCAGGCCCTTTCGGGGCGTCGGCCTCCTCCTCCTCCTTCTCGTCATCGCCCGCGGCGCCCATGTCCTTCGCGCCGCCACCGCGCTCGCGCCCGCCGCCGCCGCCGCCGCCCCCCCTGGCGGGCGGCCGCGCCCGCCTCCTGGAGCCACGTGCAGGCCGACGTCCATCGCCTGGCGAATCTCTCTCTCGATCGCCACTCCTCCTTCCTCCTCCCCCCCCTCCTCTTCCTCCTTCCCCCACCTTGTCCTCGCCCTGTTCCCACCGCCCGCGCGATTCCCCGGAGTTGGGTTTTCGTTGGCGTTTTTTTTGTATGTATATATATATATGTGAAATATATACACATATTCTTGTTTTTAAAAGTGCTGTTCTCGCTTAGGCGCCGGCCTCATTTCTGCTCCCGAATCGTTCCGAACCGTGCTCCCGCTGCA